ATAATGAAACACATCAATATGGAGCTACAATGAACACAGGATCCAGGATAGTAGAGGAAACTGCTGTTTTCTGGGCTTTATGAAAAAAGAAGGAAGAAGTGTGTGTCTTTAAGCTCTTTACTGAATAAGAATAAGAAGTTGACCTGGAAGAACAAATGTATTTATCCACTACTTTCTAAGGATCCCCAGGGAGATAGCATTTTGTATTGAGGACAATGAGAAATATGAGTTTGTGTTAGCTACCAAAGCTTCCACAGATAACTAAAGCCCTGACCTTAAACCCTCTAGAGCCACAAATAGCAACTTGAGCCACACGAGCTTATCTTAATTCCCTTTCCTTACACCTTTCTTCCTTGTTGCTTCCCGACCAGGAACATCCATGACATAAATATGGTTGATGAAAAATGGTATAGTTCCATTTCAAACCCCAGAAAACAAAGCTCTACACATAGTATAGGGGTTCCAGCGTCAGTACACCACATGTAAAACTACAATGAATGACTTTGATCTCACAGTCCCAGAGAAGCAATTTTATTGCCTTGGTAAAGAGTCTCAAAGACTAATGCAATGCTCATTCCTTGTAAATTAGGAACTGGCGTTTTATTCCTTATATGGATTCTTCTTGTCTTATGAGGAGGCCTATGCTCTGATAAATACATAAACTGAAAATACCATTAAATCAAAAAGTATACAATGCACCTAATATATGGAATTCCATATTTTGTAGTACAAGTCACCCCCAGAGTGGGATCAAGGGGGCTCATCCCGAACTTAGAAATCAGTATGGAGAGTGTCACATTGCCTATGGGTAGTCTCAGAATTGTCCAAATCCCCAACATAATGTCTAATGTGGTGTATGGAGACTTATTGTTTAGGCCAATGCCCTGATTTTTATTTGGGAGCCAAGTAGTGAAACTGAGGGAAGATAATGTTGGGAATTGCAAGATCTAGGGACATCATGGTGATACTATTTTCCCACCATCATAGGAGATGTAAAGGAAAATTATTAAGGTGCTGAATTTGAATGCAACAGGAAATATTACTTTTTTCTTTCCTAAAGCTAACCTTTAGCTCTGACTCCTACTGATTGATGCAGAAATCCAGTAGAGGGTAGCAGCTCGCTCCCATGCCTAATTATTTTAAGTTTCCCTGGCTGACACTTCATGTTCTTCGCAGAGTATTCGGAGTTGTAGGTTCTGTGTCTAAGAGCCGGCTCATGAATCTCTCTTGCAGTACTTAAGATGCTTCTGTGACAATCTATTAAATCCCTTTATTTTCCATACTGTTGAGTCTATAACCAGGGACTGTGCCAACAGGGAATTGAACTCCCTTTTCTCTCTTTCAAAAGCAGCAGTTGACGGCACATGATGATATTAAAGCCTGAGTAAGGCCTAAGTATATACATTTACTCTGATATCCAAGATTCATTTTTTTCTTTGTATAGGCATCATTTACATTAAAATCCAGCTTATCATTAATTTAGTGTCTCCACTCCATTGAACAATTGAGATTTCATCATGATTTCTTTTGAACACATCTATCTAAACTAACCACCCTTCAAAAGAAGAAACAGATTTGGGGAAACATTATTACAGGCGTGGAGAGATGGTTCAGTTGGCAAGGTTCTTGCCTTGAAAGAATGAGGACCTGAAGTAGATTTCCAGAAATCTTTTTAAAAGTTGGGCATGATGGCATGTACTTGCAATGCCAGCCATGGGAAAGCAGACAGAAAGATCTCTGAGGGAAAGGGGCTAGGGTACCAAGGGCCAAAAATTTCAACACTTCAAACCAGAGAGACTTCTTTAAAAAGAAGTAGTAAAAGAAGATGAAGAAGTAGAAAAAAAGAAGAAGAAAATAAGCAGCAGCAGAAGAAGACAAAGAAGAAGAAGAAGAAGAAGAAGAAGAAGAAGAAGAAGACCACAATACAACAACAGAAATGCTAGCTGCCCTCACACACCAAAAAAACAAACAAAGAAAAAACCCACAGGGCGGATGGCGCTTGTAAAATAACACCCGAGGTTGTCCTCTGACTTCTACATACACAGACATACAATTTACCCAATATACATGAATAACAGACACACACATACCCCAATAAATGGTTGTAATAGAAAAACTGTTCAGATTGCTGAATTGTCTTTTGCTACATGTAAAATAAAAGAAAGAGTCACTTGTAAGATAAAATTATTGTTTTCACAGTTCAAGGAAGGGAGCAAGCATCCTATTTGCGGGACACTTCAAGACTAGTATTATAGGCAGTTGGTTTAAATGTTTGTTTTAATCTTGACAAGATCGTTGGTTTTTAATATTTATAATATAATTACATTGCTTAGAGTGCATGTTGCTCATGTAATCTAATATTTTTCTGGTGGCATATTATTACTAAGCTTTAATTTCAGCAACAGCAAGAATTCAAAAACACATTTAGGTTATCATTAGCAATGGAAAATGGAGCTGTTGCTTGTTCAAGCACCTTGTGTGTGTATCTGTTTCAACTTCAAAGCATTTTTAGCTTTTGAGATACAATCCATGCCGCCTGATTTGTGCATTTGTACAGGGTATTATCAACCTGTGACCAGTGGCTTGAAAGTAACACCACGGCAGGCAATTAAAGGTGAAAAATTTCACCGCCCCCCAACACACACCAGAACAGTTGTTTAAAGGCTTTTTGGAAAATTTCACGACAGTCAAAGCCAATGAAGACGGAATCATAACGGTGTTATAAAATGCACTGTCTTCCTTCCTAGCCACACATCACTAGCTGGCAGTTGCCTGGATTGCAATTTTCCATTTCTCTTAGATGTCACAGCAAGAGCATGCTTTTATGACTAAAAGGATAAAAAACTCCAAGTGTCATGTTCCACTAATGATTAGCCGACAAACAAACAAAATAACTACAGATGCCTTGTTCTAAATGGTACCCAGGCATCAGAGGGCTCATTTCCTAGTGACAGGCGGAAGAGATCTGAAGACAGGTGGACAGCTGAACAGGGTTGAAATACCGCTAAGGTGGTGCAAGCAAATGCTCGCCAAAGAAATGGTTTAGACACTAAGGGGAGCGTTTATTGTGAACTAATTACATTATTTTATGTTAATGTGAGAAGCGAAATACTAGTCAATGGATATATCCCAAACTGCCCCTGGAGAAAGCCAGCAGAGCACCTGAGGCAGTATTAGCTGCATAATTGAGAAACAACTAACCCTATTTCTCACATTTTCAAACAAGTCTGAAAATGACTCCAAGTTGCAGTTCAAATTGAATCGCCACTGTGCTGTTGATTTTCAACATTATTCAACAATAGAATAACAAAAATTCATGACAAAAAATAAATAGGCTCATTACCAAAATACCACCCAGCAAACTGAAGAAGAGAGCATTCCGTCCCTTGGGTAATAAACCGGCTACAACAGGAGATCATTCCTGGGGAATACATGAATGGCTGCTTGGTATTCACAATAAAGCACTGGTTAATAGAATTCAGGAAGCTCTGCATATTTTCAGACATATGAGTAATTTTCATCTGCATGATTACAGCACGGTGTGGGTCTTCTCTGACAATACAGAGGTGGTCCGAGTCTTAGCCATAATATGAAAGTTTGGAAGTCATTCCTCATTCCATTATTTCAGGATTAACTTCTTCACCACAAACATGAGTAGACACACAGCTCTCCCCCTCTGCAAATGATGGGATGCTCAGCCCTTGATGGCAGACGTTTTCCAAGTGGAAAAGCATTATGACAACGAACTCAGCAGTGATACAAAACTCAGAACACTCTCAGAGGTTTAACCCTGTAAACAGGCAAACCTTTAGGATGCTTCTTTGAGACGCTCTCCAAAGAATGAAGACACACACTAAACAGTTTTTGGAGGGGGAAGGCCACATCAGTCACAATTCAACAAGCAAGTTTTTTTTTAACATATAAAAAGCAGCTGGACTAGGCCCAGCGGTGGTGGCGCACGCCTTTAATCCCAGCACTTGGGAGGCAGAGGCAGGCGGATCTCTGTGAGTTCGAGACCAGCCTGGTCTACAATTGCTAGTTCCAGGATAGGCTCCAAAGCCACAGAGAAACCCTGTCTCAAAAAAACCAAAAAAAAAAAAAAAAAAAAAAAAAAAAAGCAGCTGGACTGCTTCTCTCTTCCAGATTGTGATAACCCGTAACCTCCCATTTCCTAGTGCTGGTCAGAATCACATTATTTGTTCCTTGTTCTTTCCTTGAGATTATCTTAATGACCATTCAATTGTTTCCCAACAATTCCCCTGAGTCATGCTAATTAATTTTCAACTGGTTATTAAGTACCTTCAAATACTAAGCTAAGGCTGGATCCTAGATACACAATGTTCAGTACAATAGCTTTTAAAAGATGGTACCCCATTACTTTCTTTTTTCTCTTTTTCTTATTTGAACAATAAAAAGATTTACAAGGTTCTTTAGGGGAAGCACAGGATTCTTTTCTAAATTAATTAATCTCTGAATACAATAATAATTGATACATTAAAGAAAAAAAGTATCTCAGATTATCAGTTCTTTTGACTCCAATGAAGGAATCAGCACTTTTATTATTTCTGTGGCAAATATATATATATATCACTGTCATCTATCTATCTATCAATCTATCTATCTATCTATCATCTATCATCATCATCTATCTAGCTGTCATCTATCTATATCTAGCTATCATCTATCTATATTTAGCTATCATCTATCTATATCTATCTATTTATCTATCTATCATCTTACTATCTATCATCTATTTATCTAGCTATCATCTAGCTATCAATCATTTAAAGACATAAAAAGAATGGGAAAGATTTTGAGAAATCATTCTTAGATATTAGCTTTGTTTCTTCTTGATGACATGGCTTCCATGTGACTCAATGTGTTATACATAGCCTCTTAGCACAATAATGAGAAAACGAGAAGCCAACTTAAAGAAGACACAGAATTGTTCTCTGTATGCCTCAAAAATCAGGAGAACAATAAGAAATCCAGCTGCTCACCTTGGAGGACTTCCAGATAATTCTGTGGCAGTCTCTCTGTTAGACAAAAAGAAAATGAGCATGATTAAATTCATCGTGGTAAAAATCAATCGTATCATGTTATGCCACAAGACAATATGTGAAGATGATATGGAACATGCAGTTGATTTATTTCTGCCTAATTTCCATAAAGATTTCAATGGCTACTTTCAAAGGAAATTTTACACATATGTAACATTCTTCTTTCTGTTGGTAGCTTCTACTTTCTGTTGGTAGACTTTAACTGTGGTTAAGACACTGCAATTTAAAAATGGACAACATCCAGAAGGAAAGATGGCGAGAAAAAAGTCCCAAACTACCTTTAATATATTTTCAATGAAATAGAGCATGGCAATCTCTTTCTAAGAGTCATTTAAGAGCAGAGGACATTGGGAATGTTGCTATATGTTCTTGGTCACCTGCAGCTTAGAGAGCAGTATGGGCAACACAAAATTCAATTCTTTCAGCAACAGATTATGGCTTCTCTCTCTCTCTCTCTCTTTTTTTTTTAAATTCTTCCTTATGACGCACTGTGACTTTGGATTGCTGAAGACTGGAGCTATCATAATTCAAATGTGTAAAAGAACCATGAATAACAAAAGGCTGAATAATGTAATAATAAAAATGACCAGACACTAATTTTAAGACTAACTTTCTCCTAACCAACACATTGTGCCTTTCAACCAGAGATTTATTCTTGTAAACATAAGGGAACAGAGGAAAGTCAGAGCAGAAAGAAGTTTTATGCTGTAATATTTTTAAAGTAAAAGAAGGAATTGCAAAGATGGCTCAGTGATAAACGGAATGGACTGCTTGTCCATAGATCTGGGCATAATTCCCAGCACCCACATGTTAGCTCACAGCCATCTGCAACTCCAGTTTCAGGAAGCTGATGCCCTTTTTTGGTCTCCATGGGGAATGTATGTACATGGTGTGCAAGCATACACATAGACAAAACATCCTTACACTTTTTTAAAAAAAAAGTAAAGGAGGGCTTGACTCTAGACTAAGGGATTGAAGATGTAATTTTCAGAAGCAGTAATTTGATGTTTAATTTAGTGTCATGTGATCTTTTAAGGACTCTCATTCAAGATATTTACACATATAAAAAAAATCAAAGTATTTACACACTGCAAATGTGGCTCACAATCACCCAATGGTTTTTGACTTTCCTAGAACTCATGTTTCAACCTGGTTAGGAGGGTCAAGTATTTCCTTTACTCATTCAAGAAGTCTAAATAAAAAACTTCATACTCCAGGAACCTTTCCGGTCCTTGCAGCTTCTAGAACTGCCTGCCTCTTTATACCTACTGTCTATGGCAGTGTCTGACTACTGCAGGGAAGGGATGATTCTCACAGTGCCATGTTCCCTTCAGAAGAAAAACGAATGATTGTGAGTTCGGCTCTCTTAGAAATGCTCCTTTTCAGCAATCATATAATAGTGAGGCTTCTGATTTCCTTACTGTAAAAATAGCTTTCGGGGAGAAAGTTTCCATTCTTTCAGTAAAACTACCCCGAAGGCATTGGACACCACCATATTGTTGAATCTGTGCATGTTCATCTACTCTTTTATATGTGTGTTCGTGGGGGTGTATGTGCACGTATGTTAATTTGAGAGTTTACACATGCCAGGAGATGTTTTTGGGTACCTACTCTATCAATGTCTGCCTTATTCATTTGAGACAGAATGTATCTCCCCAAAGTATCATTTGTAAGAGGTTTAGCTCCCACCTGGTAAACTCATGCATTGAGAAATGACTCGATAATGAGGTCCCTGACGCACTCAGTGCATAATATCTTGTTGGGAGGCAGTAGCAGTGAGGACACAGGGACTAGCGGGAGAATAGATCAGGAAGAACTATTCCAGGAGGGTGTGCTCTGCTCTCATTCCTGGCTCCTTGTGTCTTTGTTCTCCACTTGACCCAAGGGACTGAAAACTTTGAAACCGTGAGTCGAAATAAGTCATTTCTCCTTTAAATCTTTCCCTCCCAGGGGTGAGAAAGCAACTAACACAGCGACACAGGATGTTTAGTGGCCTCCACTCACTAAACATCAGAAATATCCACCCATCTTCTACTCTGTTACAACTACCCAAAGTAGCTTTGGACATTGCTGAATGCCCTCCAGGGACAACACTGCCTTCACTAGTAATGATGCTGACAGAACGAAAGAAATACTCAAGATTCGCCTCTGTTTCAAATGCTCACTGGATGAGCAACATTCTCCAGTGCCATGGAAGACAGATGGCTGAGCCTTCACAATAATCCCAGCCTTGCTTTGGCTCCTCCTACTTAAGTTTCCATGCTTACAGAGGGTACTGCTTCCCCTACCCACTGAGAATAGTAATACCATTATCCAGTTTACACTTAACTAATCATGATGTAGAACTGATGGAATGTAACTGTAAAGAATGTTCTTATTGCTCCAAGAACTAAATTGGACTCTTTGGAAAGACAAAATTCAGAACTTAAGAAAAGTTATGTGGGATTAGATCTATGGAAAATAAAATTCTAAACATTGAAGAAAGGATGTGAGTCTTATAAGTGTCTTCAAGTTCTTGCTTTTCTAAAAAAAAAAAAAAAAAACCCAATGAGCTAGAAATTCCAAATCGTGACTTATGGATAGATTTATGTGTACAAGTCAAAATAGAAGCCTACGCAGTAGATTTATCTACTCAAAGAAAGGTACTAGCCCTGCCTTTGCTAGAAAAACAAAACAAAACAAATGCTGGGTAAGAAATGTCTTTTATCACATGTCTGAAAAGTCCATTTGGTACCTCAAGGATTTAAACAGATAAATCAAGCTAGGTGTGGTAGTACAGGCCTGTGATCCCAGAGTTTAAGACCCTGTCTCAAAAACAAACAAGCTGGCCAATCACAACAGAACCATTGTATGAAGCTCCAATGATGAACTACTTAGCATTTTTGAGATCAGCAAATCAGGAAAAGCCCAGACTTCTAAAACAGGTATTTTTTTTTCAGGTTTAGAGCATTTACTATTGCTAACAAATCATCTCAACTATTTATACATTTCCTTGAATTTATGACTTTTGTAGATAATTTTTTGAGAGATGTAAATTTAGGAGATGATACTATGCATTATTTCTCCTCCATAGCTCTACTGGGGGAACGTAAAGGTATTACAGACATCATGGGCTTTGCTGTGAACTACAGAAGTTCAATGCCTGTCACTAGTATAGTATCATCATCTCCTTTCTCTTACAGTCACTCATCAAACACACTGAGCATTTCATACACACGTTTCATCAAGGCGATTGTAGATCTGATTCTCCTCTTAAGAGTTTATATCCTAGTAAAGTTAATATGCAATGTGCAAAGTGATACATTTTGTATCATATCTTTCTGATATCCCTCTGTTAAAGCTATCTTAGTTTCATTTCCCATTGTTGTGATAAAAAATATCTGACCAAATCAATTCAAGGAAGGAAAGGTATATTTCAGTTTAGAGTTGGAGGGTACATCACGGTGGGGAGATCAGGAAAGAACAAGCTGGAGGCTGCTGGTCAAGCTGCATCCCCCACTGGGGAGCAGAGAGCAAAGAATGCACTTCTTTGTGAAGTAGAGGGCCCAAGCCTAGGGAATGGTACATCTCTCCTTTGATTGGTCTTCTCACCTCAACTACCTATGCTAGAGCATCCCTCTCAGGCATTTCCAGAGGCTGACCTCATTTCAATAATCCCTCACACATGTGACTGGAGGCCTTGTCTCCTAGAGGTGACCCCAGATCCTGTCAAATTCAGAGTCAACACAAACTCTTCCAAAAAGCAAGCTTTTTAAGGTCAGGCACCACATCTCAGATACAAATTTGAATACTTGGCTTCTAGGACTCTGAAGACACTAAAACTCTGTGGCTGTACCTGATGCTTGTCATGCTTTCTACCTGGCAGTAACCTAAGTCTCTTCAGCTCATGCGTAGAAATGGCTGTAGTCAGGGCAATATCTGGAATAGAATCACACTCACTTCCTTTACTTTCTTTTCATTTCCAAGTTGCTTTGATTTCTCCGAGAAGGCAAATGTTTAAAATTGAATGACATCAGAAGTGAAAGGAATGACAAAGTGGAATCGTGGACTCCAAGGAAAGGCACCCTCCCGAGGGCTCAGAAGCAGAACAAGCTGGGTAGGTGGTGGATGCTCCTCTTGGGCTGTGCAACCTAGGCCATGCCCTTGACCTCATGCGGCCCTCTGCACATAGGATAGAATAATGCTTCTACCTTTTGCTCTTAGGTTATTGATAAACAGGAGGAGACAGGAGGGCCCTGTGGAGTTCCAATTTCAACAAGATGGGTAGGGGAATGAGAAGAAACAGACACGTTTCAGCAGCAGACAGGGGTTGCTGGTGTGTTACACGTTTTTACACATATTTTGCATTCCTTTAAAGGAAAAACTTCCTGTCAATGTTAAATATGTAGCACTTTAGCAGCGGTGCCAGCCCTTAGCAGCTGTCTGAAGAACCATGCGTCCTCACGATCTCCCATTCTTGTCCTTTTCTCACCTCTGCAAACAGCTCTGTCTTAGGGTGTGCCGAAGCCAGAGCTCACTATATACCTCAGCAGCTTGCCCATTTCTTAAATCAGCTGACAACCATACAGTGGAGGACATGAACCCCCATGTGAATGTGGCCAATGTGGTGTTTGTCTTCCAAGGGACTTTGAGTTTTCCAAAAAATACAAGGATTTGCTTTTTTAAAGTAGGAAAATATAGTTGTTATTGCCTATTCTGGTCCTAGATTTTAGTAAGGTTTTTTTATATTGTAATTAAATAATAGTGAAAGCATGATCACCAAATAGATATCTTTCCTTCCCTCCTTCTTCCTTCACTTTTTGCCTTCTCTTTTTTCCTCCCTCCCTTCCTTTCTTCCTCCCTCATTCCTTTTAACATTAATTTTCTTCCTTCCTCTCCTCTGTTCCTTCTAACTCATTCAACTTGATACAAACTGAGACCCTTTTAAATCAGATCTGCTTCCAAATAATGGAGAACCAAGAATCTAGCTTAAAGGC